TTATTTGATATATTTTGAAAAATGAATCATTAAATACATATATTAAAGTACTTTACATACCAAAATATGAGAGGTGTATAAATATGAAAAGCGTAAACACTAAAAGCATTTCGACCTCCAGTTAAATAATTGTCAATTACACATCAGGTTTTGGTTTACATATCTCATATATCACATATTCATCTAGAAATGAATGCGTCACTACCTTGAAATACATGTACGTCAGCACAGAGGAGAAATATGAGGACATACACTTGTAAAGCATGCCTAGGACTTAAATTCTGTTTAATCTCCTTCACTTTAAATGACTTCTCTTAGTACCGGTGTATACATGTATATCAAAATACCTAATTCTGTTATTAAATCAAGCGTAAAACACGGCTTTGAGATTTAGTAAAGAATCATTTTGAACAATTGTTAAAATCAATTTACCAAGACATATGAGACAAGATGTTCCGGAATGGCTGTACATATGTATGCGTCTTCTGCTTTATCGACGTCTCACGCGCAATGTACATGTAAATCTAGGTTAATTCAAAGTAATGGGACATCCTCAAAGCTAGAATCGAGGTAGTACATATGAGCAATATTAAAATACATAGACCTTCATATTACACATTTTATGATAAGATTATGATGGCGACCACTAAGATTGTTAATAAAATGTAACGGTTCTGTTAGGATTTATAACTCAATGCTTTTACAGCAAACGCAGTTTAGATTACAAAATCAAGCTACTGTGGCTGTAACTATGGTATATTGTCAATAACATAACTCAAATATTTAACACAAAGTCTCTTGATAGGTAATATGATTGGGCTGTAAGTATTTTTGGAAATGTAAAAGTTTGGGTGTAAAGTCCGTTGCCAGGTAAATTAACTCAAATGCTACAGTTTAAAGTCGTTTGCCAGGTAATAAGACTCAAAGGCATCAGTTCAATGTCCTTTGTACGGCAACATTACTAAGAAATGAAGGTGCAACATAATTTCTCAGGTAATATTCCGCAAATACCTGATAAACATGTGTAAAATCCCTCGTCAAGAATTATTATATGTATTTATGTTTTATTATACGGATATGATTAGATATAAATTAAAGGTGTGACGATATAGAACTCTATATATAGTGAAGACAGCATTGCAAATTCATGTCGCACTAATGAATTTTACCCCAGGTACATTTTGTATAGAAATGAGTTACCGGATCATTAAACATGAAAAAATGTGATTCATTTTCCTATTGAATTCTAAAAATCTAAAATGAATATCTATGTATTGTTATGAAAAGTTTAAAAGGACCTCATAATCACCCCACCCTTACACCAACGAATGTGTAAATAGTAAAAAAATCGTGTTATATTCTTACATTAGACATCGGCGTTTCTATTAACGACTTAGAGTAAATATTTGTCCTGTCCATTCCTGCTTTAACATTATGAAATGGATAGGTGGTTCCCGTGTCACTGTGCTATTAGTTAGGGTTACACCAGTGAAACGGTTAAACGATGGTAAATAAAGAAAATTACAGACTCGACCTCAGATTGAGGACATAGGGACATTCAAATGTCAAAACAATTACATCATATCCTTTCATCAACATTACAAAATACCTGTATAATGAAAAGCTCTATAGCTTATAACTAACAACACTATTTTGTACACATCTATTAGATCGTTATGAAACGACATTTATAACATAAAAATGAAGAAAAATACACATTCTTGAATCCTTATTATAAGTGTTCAATGTATGTTATTTGAATCCAATATATCAATGTATTTGCATGTTTATATTGCCGTACATATATAGAATGCTCAATATATATCCGACCATACGAAATATAGTATCCCCTAGCATTTGTAAACTCAAAATATGTGTGAGCTCTTAAAGAGACGAGGATTTTCTTCTGTTTACTTGGTATTTATTTGATCCATATTTCTCATTTGAGCTTACATCTAACACTTCTTTGGGATCCTAGGGATATGCCTGTCATGATCCTGGGCACGTAATCATGGAACCTTTCTCATGCTCAAACTCAGATTCAGTGCTCAAACCCAATTTCTTGTTCCTGTGATAAATGAATCAGCAAAATACCATTTGGTCTATAATATGGACAGACATTGGAGACACTTGAAGCTAAACACTGTTTTCAATATTAACATTGGACTTATTGATCGTGATAACTAATTTTAGCGAGTTCCAGGGAAGTTGATTTGACCCATGCTTAAACACGAGAAGGGTTTTATGAATATGGTCCCTGGTGTCTCAGTTTAATGATGCCAAGGACAGGCTTCAATTTCATGATCCCAACTGGGACTAAGGTCCGTATTCAGGAAAATGATCCTGTGCTCAAACCAACTCTAGTTTCTTGTTACTCTCTCAAATCATGTGACATAGTCAGGAACTCAAATGCAATGATTTCAAAGGGTATTCCGCTTGAGTTTTCTCCAAATTAATTCCTCCATATCACTGCCAAAATGGGAATTTTCTTCAATTTAGCACCGGAACAAGACATATAGGGCTTTAGCACATACGTGTAATGAGGTTTGAACAAGAGAACTGATTCGTGAATAAAGAGGCATGCAGACCTGTTTGTTTAACATTCCTTATAATTAGCTATAGTTATGCTCCGCGTAAACAGCCTCTTAGGAGACATTCAAGAAACTTAATTTAACTGCTGATATTCTTGCCTTTTATTATGTACTTATCTCTTTTCCCAATCACAATATTTGTTCATGTAGGACAGTAGTGTGATACGAATATAACAAAGAGTGACGTGTATTGTCTTTGTCCAATAAAGGAGATATCACTCAAACTTTTGATACCCATTAACACAACCATAATTGTAGTGATAACGATATTTGTTGTCAGCAGAAAAGAATAGTGTTTGTGTTTGACGTTCGGATGACTTGTACGGTGTGCACTCCAGATCCGTTACCTGAATTAGACAGACTTAATTGGTCGGAGGTTTTGTCTGATGAAGGTGAATACACATACCGTACTAGTTATACAAACGTCATACATAAAAACCTTTACTGGTTGTGCTAGATGAACCTTTCTATAATCCATGCTTACCAACATGAAGAAATGTTTAAAAAGATTTCCACATTTATATCTGAGTATGGATTGTAATCTATTCACACAGATTTATTGAAAATGAGTATAACCAAACACCAAACCACGCGAAATATCTCATACCTTGCACATGGAGTCATATTTGAGTTTGTTTCAGATCCCCACCCCAAACCACCAATGCTTTAATCGTCCAGTCGTATCATTTATTGTTCTCCCATTCCTGTGCGTAAATATGCGTGTAGGACATTTCTATCTTATAACTACATCCCATTTCACGTGCGTGACGTCACAATGGAAAAACAATGACGTGACGTCACAAAAAACGGGAACCATTCCGATAGGGCGATACAGAAATTTCGACGCTTATTGTGGTTTCTCAGCTAATTCTGGTTATTGGGATAAGAAAAAATACTCGTTGATGCCAAGGTGTGTATGATATGGAAACTTAAACCTAATGGATTTTCAAATTGGGCAAAATGCTAAGCCTCGGGTTTTAATACCAAAATCCCTCGAACGGATTTTCACTATCCGACATCCCTGGGCACAAGTAATCTACCACATGTTTTCCTTATTGAAGAGTTTTGAGTACAGAGAGTACAGAAGTGGATGTAATAGCCTATACACATGTACTTGTAAACACATAAACCGTCTACAAAAAATATATATTTTCATGTTTAAGCAAATCCAAAAAGTCGTGGTAGATTATAACGGAGAACTCTATATTTTACAAAAAATAATATATAGTTCTCTACGATCAGAATGCAAGTTCATAGATATATTTCCCGTTTATTTTAACGATTATTCTTCACATTTGTTCCTAAAATTTGAATACTATCAAACTAAGTCTAAAAATGTTTGACTTCGAGAGAATATACTACTTCTGTGGGTATTATAATATATTTCTAGTGACATTGCAGACAAATGTAAATTTATTGTAATAACCTAGGAATTTAAATTTTATCTAGGTCGTAATGATTTTTAAACGTACTTTGATAGTAAACACTTCCTGTTTGGGATTTAAATAAATATACATGTACAAACATATCATCAATAATATAACTTTTATGACTTTATCATATCAGTACTTTGCAAGCAAATAATATAATTATTATTGTCTATATACTTATTGTGGCACCTAATCTGCATTGCTAGTATTGGCAGATAAACAAGGTTTTAAAGATATATACTACCACTACCAATTTAAATAAAGCACTTAAAATAAGTAAACACTAGTGAAGAAATAATCATACCCCACCCCTCGAAAAAAAAATACAGCAACTATCTGCATTCAATGATATTTTTTTGAAAATATGTAATTCGAATATAATTCCAACAACAGACAAACCAGAGAATTTGGAGATGAGATGAATCGTAAACATTAACAGAAAATAGCAGCAATATATACATATATCTTGATTGACAAATTAAGGGACATTTTCTCAAGATAAACCTTTTTTGGAAAGGATTTTGTCGACAGGCTTGTTTTTAGAGGTTGTGTGGTGACAAACTTACACACAGACTTGCAAAAGAACAAATTAAGGAAATAAAGCTAATACTGTAGATTGGCTCTGCCATTGTAAATTAGATTGAGGCAATTCTGAACATCAGATTGAGGACATGTTCTTGTGTAACATGTTAGGTCATTGAGAAAAGAATGAAAAAAATAATAAATTCCCATATCGTTGAAATGTCTTACTGAAATTATCCAAACAGATTGATAACAAATCCCGTTTGAATTGCAAGAAAGGCGCAAGTTTGGAGGAGTTATGACCCCTGATAATGGTTTTAATGCAGCCTTGTAAACCCTTATATGTAGCTATACATTTGTACTTAATTTTCTCTAAACACTCAGTTCTTATTCATTTATTTCCTGTGAACTAAACAGAAGAAAACATCATAAAGAAAAATACAAAAGGCAATTTGGTTTTTCGTAAGTTTTTTCCTTTAATTAAAATTCATGAACTTGTCAAGACACAGTTTCCTGTGACAAATACTCCGTCATGGGCACACTATCATGTTCGCCATCGTTCTCTGTGATGATAACAGTATTCCAATGACCACTGTGGATATCTGTAACCTTTAGGTTCCGTTTCACAAAGAAATCAACAGACTGAAGAAAGTCTCTGCTCTTTGTGTCACCCAGACATAACTGTCCATACTTGTTCCACCCACATGTTAGCACAACTCCAGCATCTGGAACTCATCACAAAAATGGCCGGTAAAGATGTATAATCGGATATTTGATTCTCACACAGAAAAACAATTCATTTTTGTTAAAGATGCATTAATATATCTTAATTACAATGTCTGTGACGTCACTGTTTGGTTTGAATTTAAATTTAGCAGTAATCTTTAGTCACATAGGGATGTTGTCCACACATGTGATGGGGCCAATAACATGATACCACAGGCAGTCTAGCATTCTAACACAGACTAAAGCTATAAGCAACAAGGTAGAAACCATGGAATGAAAAGAGGCGAAACAAAGAAAATATTGATTATAACTGGAACAAGAAATGAAAGGGTTCAGATGATAACCCTCTATACTGCAGGGGTCTCCACTTTATAGCTTCAGCTTTTTTTTCTTGTAGAGCTAGCTATTTAATATATTTACATACAAAAAACGAAACTTTACCTTTTATCGAACATGAACTGTGCAGATGTCAACATTATCACTATTATAGCTCTTATGAACCAAACTAGTACAAGAATATTTATGTTATTGTGTATACTGTACAACTGAAGCAATGACTGAGATACCACAAATTATAGGGAGGTGGAAATAAAAACAGTGAAAAACAGGCAGAATTTTAAAACAATTGAATGAGGTGGCACCAAATATTAATCTATAATTACTTTTTTTTTATTATACTAAGTTTGTTCACCTGTTAGAAGTGCAGTATGTCTAGCTCCACAGCTGATCTTACTGACTGTTGTATCCAGCAGGTCAAGTCCACAAGGCTCACTCTGGACTTGGACATTTGTCACATCACAGTTCTGGACATACACATGACTCTCCATACTGACCAGCCTATCATAGACTGGTCTTGGCTGGGAAGAAGGTGAGCCAATGAACACTTTTGTAACATCTGAAGAATCTTGGGGTATGGAGTCCTTGAGTATCCTAGCAGTTGATTGGTTATCATTTGATTGGCAGGTGTTACTGCCTGGAGATGTTATTTTGTCAAATGAAACTGATGATGACTGTGTAATAAGTTCAGAAGTTTGATCACTGATAAATACATCGTTTTTGCCAATAAATGTTTGTGTTTTCATTCCTACTTTACTTTCAGACAGTTTTGTAGGTTTTTGCACATCTGTTTCCGAATGATTTGTAGATTTACTTTGCAGGTTTTTTCTGTCACTCTCCTTTTCATTACATGGCAATCCAAGTTGCCCACTCTCATTCCATCCCCAAACCCAAACGTCTCCAATATCTGCAAAGAAATATAAATGTAAAACAAATTCAATGTTGGTACCGACACATTAAATAATCACACTGTTTAGTTGATGTTATAAAAGAGTTCATAAGACAAAGTTTCCTGACCTTGAATCCCATTGTAAATTCAAAAAATGTTTACTAAATTTCTTAAAAGTGGGTTTTGTACTTTGGTATAAAACTCTGCTTAGATTTGTTTTGATTTTTTACAGTATTCACAAGTAATGGAATCAACATGTAGAGTGAGTATGTATTAATTAATAAATTGTTTATCCAGATGTACCACAAGACCATGTCATAACCTTTAGTCAAATTATTAGATGGCTTAGATGTTATGTCGGGTTAAGATACAGAACACACTATGCAGCAATTAAAAGCATACCTGACAATGCAGCAGAGTGCCACCCACCCGCTGCCACTGCGGAGAAGCCCACGCCAGCTAGTGCCTCTACCAACTGTGGTTCTCTCTGGTTCACGACATCCCCATGGCCTAGCTGCCCACGACTGAAAGATTATCAACTGAAAATGCTTCAATTTCTTACTGACTTTTACTCAGGCTTCTCATCATAGTCAAGTTGGTAAACCCTGCATTAAAGCCATTTTGGTCGCTGTGGAGTATAACATATAGATAGACACTCATGCTGTAAGTAATGACTGTTCAAGGGAGATAAGTAGGCAAAGGTTTTTATTATATATTATGTAAACTCATAATAAATCTAATCTCTCATTTATAAAATAAATGTTGTTTACATATCATATCAGACTGGCCAGTTTGCAATCAGTAGGCCCCAAAATATTCATAAGCCTTTGAAATAATATGGTGACCAAACTGGATTTTCAAATACTTTTGTCTATTTATGAGCTGTTAATAAAGGCTATTACTCAGCATATTTTAAGATAAGAAATAGGAAAATGTCATTTTACAGTCTTAGAAAATATCTGGTATTCATTGTAAATAGGTGTTCAGGTTTTTGTTTGTTTATAATGAAAGTAGATATAGAACATTATATACCTGCCTCCTCCATAGGAGTAGATCTGCCTATTTTGGCCTAGTAGAAGCACATGCTCCTTACCACAGCTAACTGATGCTATGGGCTCAGCACATAGAACAGGAGTTAAGGAGGACATAGCCCAGCCTCGGGTGTCCAGACTTGTAAGGGTACAACTGCTAATTTTTCCAGCCGCTGAAAATATAATACAAAGGATTAAGGATCTGCTCTGCTTGAAAAATTATGTCACACAGAATGAATATTAACAAAAATAATGTTCAAAACTGGAAGAGGATCAGGAAAAGGGAAAAAAGACCAAGAACACTAAAAGAATGCTCAAAATAAACTGAGCTACCTGTGGTTATTAAGTTATATTTAACACATTCCTGCATGACAAACTAAACCCTTCTCACCTTATTCTTTTTAAAGTCTTGGTCTGTGAAAGTATCATTATTTACAGCCAAGTTTTGGGTATCCTCTTGCCAGCCAAATACTGCACTTGTACCATTCAATTTGTAACAGGACAAGAACCACTTGGGGATTTTGAGTCATAGATCTATGCCATTTCTAACCAACCCTAGTCACTAACTAATTGATCATGCCGAGCATCCAAAGCATGCTACAATCTTACAGTGAGAAAAAATTGAAGAGTTTACCAATTATTTCCAAATCTGACAGTTAAATTCCAGGTCTTAAAGAATTTGAACTGACCACACCTTTAACCTTCCACAGTTCTGTGTCTTCAAGGATATATATATGAACTGTCAAATAGTTAGCTCAAACTAACAGTTACACTTCAATATGAATTACAACGTTAGTTCACCAACCATCCAGAGACAACAATGCCTTGTCCATGCCATGGATGCTCTCAGTAATATTAGTCTCTAGCTGTCGGTTGAGTTTGATTTCCTCCAAGTCAGAATTCTCTTCTCTACACAAGGAACGGTTCTTTATGCCACGATAGGTCTTGACCTCTGTACCACCATTGTTTACAGCCTTCATGCCACAAGATGTCAATAAAGTGATCCTTCCATCATTTAACAGAGCCACTATTTGATCATTTAGACATGTTAAGCTCCTAGAAGTTCTGTGTCCACTGCCTTCAGCTCCTCTGTCTGTGGATTTGATAATCTCATCGATCCTTTCCATTGATGGTGAAGTAGAAATGTTTCCATGATCTACAAATAAAATCGGAATAAAGGTGCAATTTAATTCATAAACCATAATTACTTTTGAAGGGGAAATCATCACAGCTTAAGCTACCGACTTGTTTTCCCTATTCACTTTCAGCTTTATTAAACTCATCAGGATCAATTTTTATGCTTGTTTTTGAAAAAAATGACAACTTTACTGATGCGATTATTTTACTTATTACTCCACCTTCTTAAATAATACAAAAAGATACTGTGTTTCTGAAATTACAGGAAATTATCACAGCTTGGAGCGCAGGATCTGGAATTCATATATATGCGATATATTTAGGTATCGTGCGCACATCACCAGTGTTTTTGTTACCTAAATTTTACAACAGCCGGTTCCTTTATGAATTGGGAAAAAAGAACATTATATTTGTATTAAAATTTGGAATATATTCCTCAGTTTTTGGTAATTTTGGGAAAATAAGGCACTTTTTAGCTAGTTTTTTCTCTATATATAAAACAATTAATATTCATCATCTCATCTTATGATGACAGAGGAAACTAAAACCCATATTCCTGTATACATACAGTGATTCTGTTATAATCACTGTTAAAGCATGATGTGGGACTTGTGTAAGTCTAGATATGTGTTATTACCATCAATAAAAGTCAAATGGGACCAAGCAATGATGACCTGTATACTGCAACTGGTGGACTGTATAATTGTTGGGACTGAAACATCACTGCCATGATCATCATGTTCAGAAATTTGTTTGAAACCATTAAAACCGGTACCCCATACACAAACATGCATATCTTTGCCGGATATCACCCGATTTGCCGTTTCCGATTTTAGATTGACCTAAACTAGGACCGCAGCACGGTTCTTTTCTTCTTCTTCTTCCATTTTATTATAAAACAAATAAACAAATTAGAAATATTTATATTTAATTCAAATGTGTGCTTTTTATCAAGATCATATTTGAATAGATAAATTTTGTCTGTCAACTTTTACCAACCAATCAAACGGGGACGATCAAGTTTGACCATATCGTTCCAAGATGGTGCTTGAAAGTACGATTGTGTGGTAAGAAAAATTAAAATGTCATGCTCATTAGAATTCAATTCTATGAACCAATTATTAAGATGAAATTTTAATGTTAAGATTAGAAAAGACATATTTTGACCGTAATTTGCGGAACACCTGCACGAAACTTGAAAGACAAATAATTACTTTTGTCTACATGACGAAGCGAAATCGAATTCAACAGTTTCTTCTCGCTGTCAGTTCGTTTGTATCATTTTCCGTTCTTGTATCGCAAAAGTGAAAACGTACGGCAAAGTCTTTCGTGGTGTTCTTTATGTGCTATTAGCAATACTCCAACAATGTAAGAGGTTTGGCACGGGGAGATTCGAGATACTTTTGACAAGCGCCTCGTACCGGCATCATATCCTTGATATGGAATCAAAAATAGCCGACCACGGCGACCAGTGTTCTCTTTATTTGTAGGAGTGTTACATAATATTTCCATATGTACATGTACTAGAAACATCAGGCCATAATATTATGATATGCTAGATCTAGGTTTAATGCTTAAACAGGTCCAGTACACTCTGCCGATTGAGCTATATACTAATATAGCTATAAAGACCTATATAGCTATATACACCTATAAATTATACAGTAGCTGTAATAAGCTTTATTTTCTCAGATTTCAAATTTCATTAAATGAAAGCAAAGTCGCATATACAATAAGGTTAATGGTAATGTTGACTACAAAAAGCATACATTTAGATGTTTATTTTCATTTTTCATAAATGTAAAATTTCTGACTTTTTTTACATCATTATTTTTTAAAAAGAATACTTATATTTAATGTCTTTTGTTATCAACCTAATGATACAATCTTCTTTTAAATGCGACTTTGTTCCGTTTTCCTTTAAAAAGAAAATCACTTGAAAATAGCTCAAAATACCTATTTCAAATAGGTCAATAGAGCTATTATAGGTCTTTACAGCTATATAGCTCAATCGGCTGAGTGTACTGGACCTGTTAAAAACTGTGGGAATGTAATGTTTATATTTTTTGTGTAACCAGCACTGCACTTAATTGTGGTTTAAACTATTTCTCCCACTAGTGTTACAATTCTCATTATTTCGGTATATCATATTCAACTGGCCTCAGATCATAATTTTAAACTTCATGACATAATGTGATATGCTTTTCCTTGCAGTGTTGACAACAGTGATTACATGAGAAATGGTGACTTTGTTCCCACACGTTTACAGGCCCAGCATGATGCAGTCAACCTTGTCTGCCATTCTAAGACACGAGCAAACCCAGAAAACAATGTTGGACTTCTAACCATGTCCAGGTATACGTATAAGTCAAATATCTAAATCAGACCGTGTACTGCAGTATATATATCTAAATCAGACATTGTACTACAGTACAGATATCTAAATCCGTGTACTACAATATAGATACCTAATCATACTGTACTACAGTATAGATATCTAAATTAGACAGTGTACTACAATATAGATATCTAAATCAGTGTACTACAGTATAGATATCTAAATCAGACAGTGTACTACAGGTATAGATATCTAAATCAGTGTACTACAATATAGATATCTAAATCAGTGTACTACAGGTATAGATATCTAAATCAGACAGTGTACTACAGTATAGATATCTAAATCAGACAGTGTACTGCAATATAGATATCTAAATCAGTGTATTACAATATAGATATCTAAATCAGACAGTGTACTACAGTATAGATATCTAAATCAGACAGCGTACTACAGTATAGATATCTAAATCAGTGTACTACAATATAGATAGTGTAATACACAAACTGTTTGTCCAGCTTCAAATACTGGGAGGGGTATACATGCAATACATTTGAAGAAATCTACATTATATATGCATGTGTAACCTTATGTTTGAATTAGTCTCTTTCATAAGACATCTAGATTTCTATTCAATAAAACTTAGTTTCTCTTACAGCCATTTTAAGATTGTGATTAAAACATTTATTATAATTGCTTCTTTGATATTCATATGATTTTACCCGTTTGTTGTTTTCAGTGTTGAAGTTCTAGCTACTCTCACAACCGATGTTGGTCGCATTCTTAGTAAACTGCATACAGTCCAGCCCAAAGGAGACATAAAGTTTGGGACAGCACTCAAAGTGGCTCATGTAATATTCTTATTTTGATTTACAGTGTTAGTTTTGTTCAGAGGATGCAGCATGGATCCATCTGGCATACATCATTTAACTTGTTGTTATAAGATATTGTTCAATCAATGTAATTCAAGTATAAGAAGATTGTTTGTTTTTAGAATTAAATGTGTAATAAATTTGCTGAAGATTTCACAAACAGGGGCGTATAAATTTCATATTAAATTATTAGCCCACAGGCAGATTTTGAAAAGTATGCAAGACTGATGTATAATTATAACATACACATTTTGAATATTGAAAACTTCCATTAGTCCTGACATGAAACCTACTGGCACGGGACATTGGATTTATCTAGTGGAATCGTGGATAAACACAGGCCTTTTTATGACCCAATATGGGTCTATTCCCCTCTCCAATTTTGGCATTATTTTTCCCTATTTCAGTTAAAATCAATCCCCACTAGTAACTAAAATACTACAACATGAATATGTATCTGTCTTTGTTCTATTTTGTTTTTATTTCCCCTCAGTTCGATGACAGTGATTTATTTCATTTTCCCTGTGTTCATGTTAACGTTGTCACTGCCTATATTTTATGACACTGTATAAGGCTGGCCCTGTATACAGTATACATATCATAAAACAGTCACGAAAAACGCTTTATTCTAATGCATATCTGTGTCTATTTGAATCGTCCATAATGTACAATGAGAAACAATAGTTAAAGATGTCGACATCCATGTCCCTCTCTCGAACTCTCCTCCTGGCTCGCTGGAGGGGTCATGCACCTTCTACAGTGCATATTTTCCCCTATTTCAGAAAAAGGTACTAACATTCTATTCCTGTTTTAATCACTGGGAATTATACAACATTCACATAGTTCAAGGATTTATAATCAAAATGTTTCAGGTGAACATATTGCATTCAGAATTGATTTATTGCTTCACCTGTTTAAGATATGTGCTATAAATCCTTGAAATATTGATTTTACAGCTGTCACTCAAGCACAGACAGGGGCGTAACCACAAGATGAGGATAGTGCTGTTTGTAGGCAGTCCTATTATTGAGGATGAGAAAGATGTAGGTATTTGCCCATGTCTACAGTGTATTTTAGTAATTATTCCTTTGTAACAACTATCAGATATATTCTGCTCCTTTGTATACATGTGTGACGTACACTATAAATTTCTTAAGTTCCGGTTTTCGATCTAGATTTCTGATATTTCGCCAATTTTAAGAATTTGAACTGCATCCAAAATACAGTCAATAATTGTAAGATTATATATAAAATTAACGTGAATTGAATTGATAATCTACAAATGTGGTACTTTCAAATGAAATCTTTTATCTTTTCTCCTACCTACTCTTTCTTTGAGTATTGTCTAACTAGGCACCTATCTTTATATGACCTTTGTTGTTGAAAGGTTATGAAATTGTGGAAAACAATTTCAAAAGCAAAATTAACTCCGGCAATAACATTGCATGTTTAATGATTTTAATATTAAACTTCATTGATTTTACAACAATTTTTGAAACATGCTATTACAACTTAAATTGATCACTCTTTTTGGCCTGTATGTTAGCATAATCAGTGTGGAAGGAAAACCCACTTAGTCTGTCAGGTGATAACCCAATACCATTTCACGTCTGATCGGGGAATAGAACCCTGGTTGTCTTGGTGAAAGGTGGGTGTGTTATCCACTGCGCCACCTGACCACTCTATACACCCAATACAAACTTGAATGAAGCACATGTCTAGAATGTTTTGTTTAAAATGGTATTCTGTGCTTTATAAAAGAAATATGTTTTAATAAAAAAGTGCCATTACTGTTTTCTTAGGTAAATACAATTTCTTTGACAAGGTAAATTAAATTAGGTAATAATCTAAGGTGCAGTGGCAACTATTAATGGCACATCTTGTCTATAAAGGGAAATGATATCCAGAAAATAAGGTACGAATGAAGACAGACTAGAGTGTCGCAAACCAAAACTGTAAGCTTCATTCCTCCCAAGGGTGGATATATATGCAGGGTTACAACATCCTTTCTGAAACCACCATAAACATGTTTAGCTCCATTTTACGCTTTTTAGGTCACCTGAGACAAAGTCTCAAGTGACCTATTGCGATCGCCTTTTGTCCGTCGTGCGTCCGTAAACAATTTTCATTTTCGACTTCTTCTCCAAAACCCCTGAATCAATTTCAATGAAATTTTGCAGGGACCTTCCATGGACAAAGGTCAACAAAAACAGTTGCCGGTTTAGTCTTAAGTCCCCAGGGGCCTGAGGGGCGGGGCCAAAAAGGGTCAAATTGACTAAAATTTCAAAAATCTTCTTCTCCAAAACCCCTGAACCAATTTCAATGAAATTTTGCTGGGACCTTCCATGGACAAAGGTCAACAAAAATAGTTGCCGGTTTAGTCCTA